AGACAGTTCAGTCTTTGTCTATGGTAACTAAAGTCGACTCCTAGAACAATGCTGAATAATTCCGGTTGTCAATGTACAGTACAGTACTGTATTGTACTAACATACTGGCGGAGCTCTTCTGGAATTTTACCTAAAAACATAACACCCACAGCAGTAATTTATCTTTCGTAAACTACTATTATCTACACAACTTGCAAATATCTATGAGCACCAAAACACCAACTGTCAAGGCTAGCGCCACTGATCAATAGTAGTGATCATTTGATGCGCAGTAAAAGTTATTAAACTATGAAAATCTTGTAACTGCACTGAATAATTCAACATTTTATGAGTTTTGATGCTATGAGGGATTTTCGGTTAATATATTGTACTGGATAATGGTATCTACACCAAGAAGAGATAACTAACATTAAGAGTCGGCGACGTGTTCTAAAAATTTATTTCACTATTTTAATACAGTATTAGCTGAGACGTATATAACTCTTGTTAAATATCAGAAAAGGGAATCATATTAACAGAGTGATATCCTGACATACATTAGACAATAAACATATCTTTGATGACTTCTTAGAGATATAGTTCAATAATGATAAATAACCGATATACAGATAAGAAGCTCTGTGGGAGGAGTACCTAAAAAATGGGGTCATATTCCAGACGTCTGATGACATAACACATCTATTTGTCCTCATTACTGACTGTACTACTTAATGGTAAAAGTAATGTGTACATGTCTGAGTATGCCCCCTTAGAAAGTTGGGTAACACGTCCACACATTGGACCCTCATGTGCGGTGTGTCCTACATTACAAGGTACTGTGCCTTCATGCTCTCCAAAAATTTTTGCTGACTATGGATATCTTGAACAAAATGTAGCCTATGTGTAGAATAATATACTTCATCGTATTTAAGTGTCACACAGTGTATTTAGCCAGTTCATCTTCAGGAAAATATTCAATACATTTCACCCACGCCATCAAGAGGCTACAAGCCACTCAGACAACCACCCCACTGCCTTAGAAGTCCTGCCGCTCAACCAGTCACAGCCAATATCGATTTTGATTTCACCTTTTCACTGCCTCATAAGGGAAACAGTTTTGCCAAACACTGCCGTGGATGGTCTTCATCTCGGTCAATTAACGTCCTTCAAGAATTTTTGTTCACCCATTCACTGTCCTACATGACTTTCTTTACTTTTATCCTCTTCGCCACTGATCGGCTCGTCAGCCACTTGGGCGATCGGTCAAGTCTCTGATTACTTTTCCTTTTCATTTATTTCACCAAAAGATTGGCTCGCTAGCCGCCCGGGCGATCGGTCACGTCTCTGTCACGCACTGTTGGCAAATACTGGGCATGCACCGGCTCCTGAATGCACCTGAACCCGCTCTAGTGTTGGTCAAGTCTTGTCTTGGAAGAGCTCACACTCGGTGCCGTCACAACACTCTCTGGTAGATTGTTCCAAGAGTTTACAACCCTCACTCCGAAAAAGTTTGCCCTCACGGTTTTCCGGACTTGCGGCTTCTTCAATCTTGAGCTGTGACCCCTTGTGGGGCGAGCGTCCGCCAGCTCCAAGTAAGGACACTCGACTGAGTAGTGCCCCCTGAGATGCTTATACACCTCAACTAGGTCCCCCCTTGCCCGTCTGTAGCATAAGCTAGACAAGTTCAGGCGCTCCAATCTCTCAGGGTAGCTGAGGTGCCGAAGTGTAAGCACCAGTCTGGTGGCCCCCCTCTGAACATTTTCAACCAACTGACAGTCCCTAGCATATCTCGGGGACCAGTTGGGGAAGCACTTCACTCTTGAAGATCGTTACGAGGGACGGACCGTCTAGATATCTGAACGACCTTCTTATAAGACCCAATAATTTATTTGCCTGGTTTACCTTCTTCTCGCAATGGCCCGAGAACTTGAGCTCATTGTCAACATACACACCTAGGTCCTTCTCACATTCAGTCTCAACTAGTGCAGTTTCTTCATCCCGTTGGGGCATATGATACGCCTCCTTACCGTTGGTACGCCCCAGGTGCATCCTCTTACACTTCGTGACATTGAATCTCAGCAGCCATTTCTTCGACCATTCCTGGAGGCCACAGAGGTCCTTCTGCAGCTCTCCACAGTCCGCTTGGTTCTTAATTTCCCGAAATAACTTGGCGTCATCGGCAAACATTTGTATGAAGGAGTGTACAACGTCAGGCATTTCAGCTCAGCCAATGTAAGGAATTTAAGCCCTAGAACCGATTACTGTATTGGCGGACCAATACGACAGCTAGTGTGCAAGCGAAAACATGTTGAGTGGCGCTCGTAAGGAATTCGTTAATCGAGGGAATGCTCGTTAACCGAAGTTAAGAATCTTATGGAAGGTAATTCGTTAACTGAGGGATCATGACTGTTGTCTATTTTTAGTGATGATATAATAAGTTTCTACCCCGAGTAAAATAGTGTATTGTACTTACATCAGGTTTTTTCTCTAAGTTACCGACATTCTAGACATAGGTACCACTGACCACCTACTCACGTGACCATGTGACGTAATATTGATTTTTAACTGTATTATGATGATCAATAATACTATACTGTACTATTATCTAGAATACTAATAATTATGTTTGGTTCATGAAAATACCTCAAAAATGTATTTACTAAAGATGAGTCATTGATCAAGATTTTAATGTTGAACTTTATTTTAAAAATAACTATATAGTAATTAATAAATAAATTGTAGACAAATGAATTGATAAATAAAACACCTCTGGAAGCAGGAAATTCTCTCTTGACAAAAAAACGCCACAAGAAAGATGAGGCTGTGACGCGGAAACAGCAATTGCGTTTGGTAGCAAGGGGCAGTGGGAAAGGAAGAAAATGTGGATAGAATAGAAGAATGTTGGGAGACAGGGAAGGAGGATAGGTGGTGTAATGGCGAAAAGAGGGAGAGTATATGGATGTGATGAAGTTGTGTAAGACGAGGAATCCAGTCCTGAATACAACCTAGTTAACATGGTGCTTCGGTATAAAGTATATTAACAGGGAGTGTATTAAGTTGTCCTTGAGACTGACCATTCACTTACACCTGACAAACCTCTTTTAAGATTATTATCAGTTTATCTCCTGGCTATAAGGTATGATAACCTCGTTGCTAAAGATGAGTGTATCAGTTCAACCTCCTTGTCTCCAGCCATTTATATATTTCCCATTAACCTCTAGCTCAATAGCTACACAAGGGTCGCTCATACCGCTAGACACCACCAGACCCATCATATGTCTAAAGTTATTGGATATGTCGCATGGTGTTCATCATCATCTAAAAAGCCTGACATGTTATTTAAATCATACCATTACATCCCGGTCCCATGCATTAGGTCGATGGTTCGAGTAATTATATGTTCAAAGTCCGCGTGTTTTTTATATATATATATATATATATATATATATATATATATATATATATATATATATATATATATATATATACACGCGGACTTTGAACATATAATCAACGACCTCACCAACCAAGACTCGAACCATCGACCTAATGCATGGGACCAGGGAATGTTACCGACCATACCATAAGAGCACTAAAAGCAGTTCAAGACATTGTGATATTTCACACAAAGCCTGTTCATCGAGCTGATGGCGTCGTGAACCTCTCATTGGGAACTGCCCGTGCTGCTTATGTGGATGTCAGTAACATTTTTACCGAATCCAGCTGGTATGAAACACGAGGTACCATGTATACTTCATTTTTAGTCCATAGAACACACGTGACGATTTATGAAGGAGACACACAGTGAGGGAGGTGAAGCAGGAGATAATGGCAGAAGATTTATGGAAGAAAATTTAGAAATATCTGGCATGCACCATCTCCATTATTATACGTCTGCGACGGTAATGTAATAGAAGATAATAATTATCTTAAAATTAAACGTCTTATTCGAATATGATAATAGATTTGGGGTAGGAAAGTTGTGTGCACTAAAGCAAAAATACCTATTCCTCCTCGGCAGGTGATTCCAAGTGGCACCAAAACAGTGTTAAACCTCAAGTAATAATGGTGTGGTCATGTCACCAGTGCGCTAACCTTCGTAAGACGAGTGGAAAAGTACTGGGCAGATTGAGATTGAACTCTTATCATCTCAGCCATCAGATTGAGGATACTGTACTGTATGTAGATAGTAGATGCTTGACTGGCTCACCTGATTCAGTACCATAAGTAGTCAGACTGGGTGAAGATGTAGGCCTGATGCCTCTGCGCAGAGTAGATTAAGCAACTTAACATACCAAAGTAACAGATGGCAACATCACGCCTTGTGTCTGTGTGGCAAGACTTCTTTCCAAAGAAACTTCTTGGTTCGCCCAGCTTCCGTCCGTGATGATCTGTCCTCCAATTGTCACACATCACACATTCGCTTGAATTCACAAAATGGAGAACTGATTTTTTCCTTGGACATAATTAACAAAAGGAATTTTGTGAAATATCCAAAAAGTTCATATGCAGTACTGTATAAGAAATGTAAATATGCAAGTATGTAAATATTAAAATTGTATTGTCATCATAATTAAACAAAATGACAAAAAAAAATGAAAATTCCCTTCTGCCAAGTCAAAATAAGTAATTCAAGTTTTGTTTAATTCAGATTCCCAACATTATTTGGAAACATACAATTTATAACAGCTCGCTGTGGCTCCCCTTAATTCTTGCCGTGGCTCCCTTGGGGGCCAGGTTGAGAACCACTGTGCTAGACAATAGAACCCTTGATCATACATTATACAAATCTAATGCGTTTGAGTTAATTCTACTTAGAGTCTTTAACATGGATACAATAAGTTACCAAGAAATGTTGTACAGTACTCGCCCTTTTAATTTCCAAAACAAATCTAAATAAAATATTGTACTGTATTCATGCAGGAAACACCTCAAACTACAGTGATACTTTATTGCTATTCCCATATTAGAAAAATGCACATTACTGTACTGTACACCCATCAGGGGAAATAAAATTCGACTTAAGATACATTTTTTTTATTTTATAAAATATCTCAAAGTTAAATCTTGGTGGTAAGCTGATTATAATAAGGACTTGAAAATAATCCTCATGTAATTGCTATCCTTATCCCTATCACGGTCATTACTGATACTGCACAACATAAGGCAAAGAATTACATCTCTGCTTTATGGGTTAGTATGTAATAGTCTCAAGGGCACAGTTAACACAGCACTTTAGATTTTGATGCTACTGTACTTACAAGTACATGCCTGTTAATGGATTACAAGCACAAAGATAAATCTGTTTAACATTGTACAAAGTTGGTTTGGGTGATTGTAATATTTTATCTTCTGTTAAAATGAACAGGAAATATTGAATTTTAACAATGATGAATATTCTCTGTAAAGTCAATAATGAAAAAATAATAATTTTATTGAAAAGATAAATTTACAATATACTGTACTAGTATTGTGTATTGCTAGTGCTCCTTATTTATTATCAAACAACATACAAAAAATTGCCCTTTTCACAAAAGTAGTAAATAACTTAACAGCATTTCTACTCTCAAGTTACACTGTATTTATGGAGAAAAGAGCAGTACGTTTAACAAACTATCCTTACCACTGTGATGTAAGCCACAACCTGCTACTTCCCCACTTTATGATAGTTTATATATACAGAGCAGTGGGGCACAAGGTAGCACAAGTGAACATCACTAGTCAACACACCTCTGGATTTACATCACAAAAAAAAAAAAAAATGTCCTTAGGGTTGTGGAGGTCTGGACAGCTGTAACAATCCTGCAATGTACAGCATAAATTACTTACAATACACAGACACAATATGGGATCATACACCAGAATTGTTAACCAGCCCTTAATCCTATACTGTATAGCGAAACTGTGCAGAGCTAAGTTTGCTATTTTTTACGTTAGTTTCTTGGCCTTCTGGTACAAGACGTCTACGACCTTTTCCATCGCCTTAATGGTATCAAGAGCGTGTTCGTATGTTTTGTCCTTGGTAACAGGATCCCAAACAATCAATACCCCTGCACCCTGATCAAGAATACCAGTCAATTTAGAATCTAAGATCATCTGAGACAGTTTGCGTTCAACAGTGTCCTGTTGTAGACCTATGGTTTCACTTACATAGGCCACTTGCACCTTACTGTATGGCTCAATAATTCTGCACAAATTCTGCTCGAGCATGTTATCATATAGGGTGTTTAAATGAGCCTTCACAATCATGTCACCTTCTAATTCCTCCTTATACTTACCAAGGGTAGTTTTGAAGTCGGCTAGAGAGCGCTTACTACTGGCAGCAGCAATACCCTTCATTGCATCAACGTGACTTCCACTGTGCCGCAGTGCCAACTTCCCACTTACAATATTGTGAACGTCCTCTGGACACTTCAGCATAATTTTTGATAGTAACATATACTTTAGAGCAGTGAGAGCTTTTGGGCTGTCAGTACTATCATATCCTTCAAATGCTTCATAGAAATATGAAAAAGCTGTCTTGAAATCCTTTTCTTCAGCAGCATGAAGAATGCCAGACTGCAAATCAAGAGCTGCTTGAAGCTTAGGCGGACAATATATAGCATTTGCTGTTGTGCGTGCTGAAGTTAAGGCGGCACGGGCTTTAGGCAAGTTACCCAGTGCATGATATGTTTTACTTTCCCAGAGCTGAACTTCCACCAACAAGTTTTTGTCATCTAACTTCTTTAACTCTTTTAACAACTGAGAGCCCAGGGCAAGGGCCTCTGTGTACTGTTTTGTGTCATAAAAGAGAGCCACCAATCTCGCCTCCAATGACTGACGCAAGAAGGTACGGCGTTCAATTTTTGACCATTCAATGTTGTCCCTGCACACTTCTACCTCTAAACCTGTTGTAGCTTCCATGTCTAGGAACATGTCTACCATCGTCCGCACCAGCTTGGCAGCTTTAGCCTTCGATATCTGGGAGAGAAAAGGTCGAGTGTCCTTGATGAGTTGAGCCAACTGGTGGGCCTGGCCTGCTTTCTTGTACTGCTCAGCCAGTGACAAGATCCCTGCTTCCCTTGTTGCCACATCATCTTCTTCTTCTGTCGCTGTGAATAAAGTATTCCATTAGAAAATGAGAAGTAAATATGTATTAATTACCCATACCTAGTAGTGTAATGCATCCCCTCACTCACTGTATGTATTTCCACACTTCCAGCTCATCACAGCCAGCTTAATCCAGACTTTTTGCAGATTAAATAAACCCCCCCTCTGGAAATCGCTTTATCCAGAAATTTGCTTAATATCAACTGGATTTCCCCCAATTAGTCCGGACTAAGAGGGTTTTATTATGCAAGTCAGGCAATATAAAAATGCCATTCAGCTTTATAAACTCTATGAAACTCTTTGCTTTGAAGAGGAAATCAAGGTGTAATATCTATCTATCTATCTATCTATATATATATATATATATATATATATATATATATATATATATATATATATATATATATATATATATATATATATATATATATATATATATATATATATATATATATATATATATATATATATATATATACATATATATATATATATATATATATATATATATATATATATATATATATATATATATATATATATATATATATATATATATATATATATATATATATATATATATATATATATATATGCAAGTAAATCACTGTAGGTGCGCGTGATCTATGCTGATAACCACAAGGAAAGAAGAAAACACGAAGTTCCCAAGCGCTTTCGTGTAATTCACACCTTCAGGGGTGAGTGCAGACTAAGGAGAAGTACATAACAAGGTGTGTATACAGTGGTCCCTCGGTTAACGAAATTTCGGTTAACGAACTGCCTCCCATAAGATTCTTAAATTCGGTTAACGAATTTCTTACGAACCGACCTCTCAACATGTTTTCGCTTGCACTGGCCGGTCAACCAGCTTTAGTATTAGTCCGCCAATACATTAATCGGTTCTAGGGCTTAAATTCCTTACTATTTCAGTAAATATCAAGAAGTTTATACTATTCAATAATTTTAAAAGTTTAATATTCAATTTTTTTAGTCATTTTAACAATTTTTGAACATAATTGAAGGTAAAGTGACTAGTTTAATGCGCGGCATCCAGCCTCTTAACACAGCAAACAGGCGTTAGTCTATCTGTTTTCACTGGAGGTAACATCTTGCTTGAGACTCTCTTCAACTAAAAGCTTTTTTTCTGTGTTTCCAAGCAAATTATTGGTCATTTTGAAATATATTTTACATATTGACAATATATAATGCAGTGCAGTGTTGAGTTAAAGAATATAATCTTGAAATACACCAAGAACTAAATTTTATGGGTGAAATGGTGCCATGGGGTGACTTCTCTTCCACCCCAATGCCTTCTCTTCTTCCTTCTCCTCCACCCCCATTCTAATTCCCATCAACATCCAGGAGCCTTCTACATACACACCTCAAAGTAAGTGAACTTTTCTACCATTTTTGTTGAATTTAGGCAATTTTCGGTGAGCTGGAACCAATTGCCCAAAAACCCATTGAAACAATGGTTTCGGTTAACGAACAACCTACTGGAACGGATTGTGTCCGTTAACCGAGGGACCACTGTATATATGTATATATATATACAGAGGAGGGTGAGATCAAGTCCACAATGGTCAGGTATTAGGTAATGACCCAACTAATCTTCAAAAAGCACCGCAGGAGTCGGTAGTCAGGTCAGAGGGTAAGATGACCCAACCTTCTCACCTGGTTACAAATCTTCTTAATTACGAAATTATCCAGTTTGTACATACCATTACTCAAATTCATGTTGACGGATTCGGTATGTTTAATGAGACTGGATTCTATAATGTTCCTACTGCCAATTGAATTACAAGGTAATATTGAGGAGGCATTATCCCAGTCAATGCAATGCTTATTATCCCTCAAATGAACAAACAGAGCATTGGATTCCTGGCCTGTCCTAACACTATATTTATGTTGTTTAAGTCTAGTAACAAGATCTTTACGTGTCTGGCCTAAGTAAAATATATTACATTTCTTGCAAGGAACCTTATAAATGCAGCCACCTGTATTGTTGGCTGCATTTATAAGGTGGCACTAAGACTTTTTGTGTCTAACTAGGCTTGATAATTATACTAAAATAAATTCTGATACATAAAGTGCAGCAAATAAATTAAAATAGCCAAGATGACACACTTGAGGTACAGTAAACCCTCAATAACTCGACATTTGATAACTCAGAATTCCATATAACACGGCATGGATATGGTCTCGGAAATGCTTATATAAAATTATCTGGGAAAATCTCGGCATACCTGGTCACCTACCATGCCTGTGTCACCTACTATGATGCTTCATTCTTTGCCTGCAGTGCTGGTGTTACTTTTTGTACAATTAGTAATTACATGTAGACATATATGGGTCAATAATTTTTTATTATTTTTGTGGGGTGGGGGGTGTGCCCCGATAAGTCGAAATTTGGGATAACTCGGCACGGCCAGAGCCCCATATGTGCCGAGTTATCGAGGGTTTACTGTATGTAGACATTTAATGAACTATTTTTAAACTCCTGTATTCCTAGCCTATGATGGCTAGGAACATTTATAAGCTAAGCTAGGTAAGGACAGATTGGCTCATCTCATCTGCCTGCAATAATGGTTTAGGCCCCCAGCACTCTATAAATGTTTCCCTGGGTGTTGTATCAGCACCACTTATAACCACATTTAAAATGAGTTATGGCAAGTATTTTAGCATGTGTAAGTTTAATTATATTCTCAGAGGTGGTGACATTAAGACATTTTCCTCTAATCCCCATGCTAATCATTACTTGGCAAGCAAATAGTCTAACAAATAGTCTCATAGGTCAGCATTTGTCAACAGGTGACTCGATGGGTAATGAAACTATTTACGTGCACATATATCATGATCCTAATTAAGTTTAAGCTCACCCTTTGTAATGCTTGAAATCTATTACTGCAATAGGAATTTAATATATCTATGAAAAGGTAAGAATAAAACTAAAAATTAAGGCTGCAAAAAGAGACCTGAGGCATCATTGATGTAATAAAGCATCAAAGTTGTATATACCTTACCGAACATATAATCAAAGCACAGGATATAGGTATGGCAGCTGTATGCGAAACGTCGATCTCTATTGGTACAGCAGCCTAAGGTGCATGTGTAGTGGGCAGACTATACAATGATATTTACAAAGATGGCCTTCTTTCCGACTAACTTAACGTAACCCAACACAGTCCGTCAATACAGCTACTGTACCTATATTTTTGTGACTTGGCATACAGCTGCAGTACCTGTATCCAATATGTAGTATAATCTAATGACCCTGGAAGCATTGGTTAGATTAAGCTGATTCTTTTAGTTTACTTAATGGGTAGTTTAGTCAATATATAATTTCTCCACTACTGGGTTTGCATTCTGTGCATTAAAATTTTTAGATTGAAAATTTTCTCCAGATGTTTACATTCCACATTTCAAATTCTTAACCAGTTTAAATACTACTTCCATTATTTATCGCTTATATGAACACAAAAATACCTGTCTTCCAGTTTTAGGAATTGAGTATGAGAATTGAGGCCATAACCTGTTTCGGTGATGGGGGCCACTTCCTCCCAGCCGATACTATCCCACATTTCCATACACAGACCGTAACTCTCTACCTATCAATCACTATACTATAATCACAATTCCCGGTTAATTATCCAAATGAGTAAAAAATAATAAACTATTGAATGAAAACTAAATAGGCATTTCACTGAACTTTACTTACCAACGGGGAATGAATCAGCAAAGTGAAGGGAGGTAAACATAAACATACCCCATTTTCCTTTAATACCTTAAAAAATAACCTTTATATTACTCTCACAAGTTCCCATGCAATATAATCTATAATACTTACCTAAATTGTTCAATGTAGAGGTATCTATTTCCATTTTAGACAGAGAAATCGCCGGAGCCCTTGCAACGAGTGTAGCAGCAGCCATTGCTAGTTTGACGTAACTGTTTAGTTGACAAAGACGCAGAGACAAGCGTTCCCTCTCCTGCAAGTCACACCTCTGCCATTTCTTTTACTCACACAAACTTTACTCTCATGCCAATTTAGTTGTCTATCATATTTAGAGTGATTAAACATATTTTTCTACATTTTGAAATAGAATTATGTTAATATAATGTAAATTAAGCTTTAATTCCTTTGTTCAATGTATGGGTAACATGACTTGAGTATTGTGCATAGAGGGGATTCTCACTGTAATGTAGCCGCTTATGTGGTAGTGGTGGTTCTACTTCAGCACTGTAATTAATTAGAAATTATATGTAGTTTCTTTTGAGACCACTGCAACAGTTCTAGTGAAGTATTGTGGCTATATCTACCTAATTACTCACTAATATGATACAGCGAAAATATTAAAATTTCGATAAAATTTAATGTTGTAATATTCTTAAAAACACGATAATTAGAGAATATGAAACTAAAACATTGAGGTAATTCACAATGGGAAAATTATAATATTTGAAGAAGAATTATTTATACTGGACAATTAAGGAATATACATAAGAGAGGTGTGTTTCAGCAATTAATTAGTCAAGCAATAGGTAGCGAGTCCGTAATAAAGTTTCTTTTGGATATTCCTAGATGGAACATTTCTTTAAAGCTGTGAATATGATTTTAGATACAGTTTTTATCAGAAGGGAGCAGCATATTCAATGGTCATTCGTGTCATTTCTATTCTATTTACTGATTAATTATCAGCGTCTTCATCCATTTAAATTCATATTAATTTCACTCTTATGTTTTATTGTTATTTTGTGCATTTTCTATCCATTAACCTTTATCCCTCTCAATTTTTTTCAGGGAGTGAATTAAGGGGCCCAGTAATCTCAAAAGAAGAAGTGGTGTCAATGGAAATAGTCCAAGTTGTGTGTGTAGAAAGAGGCAGGAATAGGGATGGAAAAACATACACTTGTGTGTTCCTATCTTCAGCTTGTAAACAGTATGTTTATTAACCCTTTGAGGGGCAAGGGTTTCTCTAAGCTGAATAAAGTCTTCTGGCGTTGGAAAGAGTTAGGTGAATCTTCAGCACTAACTTTAATCCACAACGATTCACAATAAATATAGACAAATAGATAGATAGGCAGAGAGATACATAGATATTTAGTAAAATCGCCATTCAAGTTCACATTGATTCAGTATGTACGTACAGTACGTAGTACAATGCGTACATAATATTGCAGTACATCGAAAGTGCAAACAATGGTAAGCACTAAGTCAATTCAACCAAGAATAACTAACAAAGCTGTTATGAATACAAAGTTGAGTCACCAGGATTATTTTTATCACGTTTAATACTGCTGTATTATGAAAGGACTACCCATCGTCTTGACGTGGCAGTTTTGGGCTTATTAACTCCTTCACCAGTACTATATTGGTTATCTCTCTCGGTCCTCTTTTTCATTCCTGTGTGTGATTTAATTAATAGAAATTTATAGGCGGCGATATGAGGACCAATTTCCATTTGATTGTATTTTATTGGGTAAAAATTATGTATAGTCATTCAGCAAGGAAAAAATATTTACGATTAAAATAGTTATATTGTGTTGTATTTATCTATACTCTTTGAATTACTCTATTACCTTTGTTGGTTAGTGTGAAGATAATCTTCAGATTTATTGGTTTCATGTGTATCTTATGATGCTCATGAAATTTTGTTTCGCCCTAACTTAACCAAACCAACCATAACCTAACTCAAACTAACCCCCAGATAGTGTTAGGGTATTTCGTCATTACGTGAAATAAGCTGGGGGAGCCAATCTTCATGTGGTATGATTTGATAGCTCTTGGAATGGCCTGCCAGCGAATATTATGACAACTCAAAGTAACAAAGAACAGAACCAAGGCAACCGCCCGAAAGGCTGCTAAACTGAAAGATGATGAAATGACAAATAAACATCAATTAACTCCTTAAGGCCCAGACTTGATAACTGTAGAATAATTACAGTACATGCATCCACAGTTCCTTTGCATGATTTGCATTTTTACTTGTAATCAATTTACATAACACAACAACTCGGAATATAGTTTAACACCAAACTCATAATCTGAAGTATTATGTGTGTGTATTTATTAACAGCATAGGATGAAGTATTTGAGTGTGAAGTTTCATATATAAATATAAGTCTCAGCAATTCCAATGACGATTCCTTTTTAACTTTCCAAGCTACTCTTAAATGTATGACAAATTTTGCCAGACTGTGAAGAATTGTTACGCTGAACTAATTAATATAAAGAAAAAAGTAGTAGCAAGACGGGAAATATAGCTAATTACAATACGAAATTATTATTATAATCCTGGTTTATAGATAACATTCAGTTGTATCCAGGTTATATTCTAACAGCCAAACGCAAGACTGTTAATGTTAAGAAACAACCACAAAAAGACTGCTAAACAACATATTTATATTTTAAAGCTCATGGTCACAAATCTGATCTCCTTCAACACATTTTAACGATCACGAGGTAGTTTTAATTTAAGTTTATATTTATATAGTTTGTATTGAGTGAAATATAAAGAGGGGAGACATCCTGTTCGTCTTATTTCTATTAACATTAATTACAAGTCCTGGTCCTCACGCGAGTTTATTTGGTAAACACAATTATTACAGTTTTGTTAAGTCTTGATACCCGACAAAATTTTTCTAACACTAATCAGAAGAATGAAGCTTATCACACACAATATGTTGACCAGTAAAGGCATCAAGAATGTTAAAGAAGGATTTCCCTTAAAAATACAGGTAGGGATTGTGGCTTTATCCTAAACATATCCAAGAGATGTTAATAACCCTCAAGATAATACCTGAATAAGGAACTTAGATAGTGATTTTAGTAATACTTTACGACGTTTGTGGTACATAACCAGCAACTTGAGAACATTATTCCACTGAAGGTACTGTATATGGTTTCTTGCCTCTTGTAAAACCTCAAAAATGAGAATAATATATTATTTTGTAATATAACATACAATATATTTAAAAAAAAAATCGTTCCAAACGTTTGCACAATTACGCTCTATGACTTGTTGTCTACTGCTACATTATAAGATTTGTCAGACAAATTATACAAACCTAACCTCATGTCTAATTGAAGCATACTGTACAGTCTTATCTGTGTAAGATCATGTTGGAAGCTCTTGGACTAATTCATCTCGATGAAACAACTGAATCCTAACCAAATAACATTTGCATTTGGTTTGTCTGTACATTATTAAAAAATAATTATTGTCATTTGGTTAAAATAATTGTGGTCATATTTTAGTTTGTACAGTTGCGGAAATGTGTTCCTACACCCCGTGGTAACCCGTGTCTCCAAACAGCATTGTTATTTTCATGTGATAGAGAAATATGATGATTCATTAGCCCCAAAGAGTCATAATTTTCTTTTAACTTAAGAGTACAGGTGAGTGAATGTGATAGCAAATTTTGCTCAATACAGTACATTATAAAGATGTAGATAAATCTCATTTTGCTTAATTATATTCATAAGTGTTGATAATACCATCAAGAGTATTGAAAGTAATTTCAAGATTTTTATATTGCAGCAGTTGAAGCATAAAATTGCATCCTTTGAATTTATATTTGTAGTGTCCTATTCGTTTTTATTTTTTGCTAGAGATGGTGTGCATTTTATAATAAAAACAAAATCATTCTTGACTGAAAAGGAAGAATTTAGGAACTGTAAATTGTCTATTTTTCTTTGCAGGCAGATGAAGTAAAAAATGTGGACATTGATTTTGACCGGGAATTCATCTCCAGAATGATACCTAAGCTAGACTGGAATGCCCTTACATTTGCTGCACAGTGTGTAAGTTACTATTTACAGTATTGGAAAATGAGGTTTATAGTTCTGGCTGGAGAGGTTTATTATCACTCTTGCCAATTGTCAATTTGTTTGCCTGTTAGCCCAAAACTTGTTAACACAGTCTTGCTAAAAACCTGGCAAAAGTGCTATTTTTCACATTATTGCAAATCTGAAAAGATAATAATTCATTGAGTAACTAAGAGGGCACTTAGAAATCCTACTTACTGTATAATGTCCAGTTTCCACAATGTAAAAATAATTTGCTTCAAATTTGGCTGATGACAACTGTGAAACCATACCATCAGGTAATAACAGCTAACCCCACATAATGGCGAGATATAACCATAAAACTGTGATGATGTTGCTGTGTTGAAGAGGGATATAGAAAGGATGGATATCTGTACTGTACTGTACGAGTATATATATGTGTGTTAATGTGTGCTGCCAACTTTGTGAATGTGATAGTACAGTATTGTATAAACAAATAGTGATTTTAAACAAAATTTGGTGTGTACAGTCTAAAATGGAATTTGCAAAGCTCCAAACTGTGGAACAAATTCCCAAATTGCTTGCTTGTAGATAATGTTGTTGTGTCTCATTTGAGTTTGGTATAGACTTGAAAAGGAGTGTAGATGGTCTTGTGTTCTTGACTGTACAATATAGGATATCTATCATCACAAGATCTTGGATTAGTTCAATAATCAGTACAATACAGTATTTTTAAGATTTCATGGTTTTCAAAATTTAAAAATTATGACATTACAGTACATCCAATATTTCCTGTTGAATATAAAACAACCCCCTCTTTTTTTTAAAATCCCTTCTCAATTTACAGTTGCCAGCAAAAGTTCTCCCACAGCCCTGTGTAGCAAGTTGTAGGAGGACTTTGGCTGGCAACTGTACTATAGGAAGAAAAAACATTTACCAAGTTTGTATGGAGTGGAGAATTACAATTTAAGATATTTTTATTTACACATCAGGTAGGCCACCAGGAAGACTTACCTGATACATTACCGGAGGGATATGAAAATGATGACGACTTACTGAAGAAACTACATCACATTCTTTTAGAGGTAAACATTAATGTTTTTTGTTCTTGGCTAAGACTAATGGAAATTTATAAACTTCATTACTTAATACAAATTTTGTGTATATGTCATCCAAGAACAAATTTTCATTGCTGCAAGCATTTCCTTGCCCAGATTGAACCAAGGTTCTGAACTCAATTAAGTGGATGTCTCACTTGAGCATGAGGCATCCAGGTTAGTTCAAACTCTTAGTTGGCTCATAAATATCAAATTACCTCAAACCAAAAAGTAGTTCCGCACTTCAATTTAGAGTTACTATAACTGTGCTAACATCTCTTAGTTTTCAGGCAGACAAACCAGGAAGTAATAGCATTACTATTACACTTTAATATAATTAAAGTATTTGGTATTATTATTTTAAGCTTTCCTTTATGCCTTATTGTGCATTGAGCATTTTACTTTGTACATAAATAAGGTGAGTGGTGTTTATTTTGGCAGATGCTCAGCCAAATTGGTTACTGATCTCTCTATAATTATTCAATACATGTACCGTACTTTGATTATGTATATATCGATAGAGAATTTTTAATAATAAGTCAGTTAGAGGGGATGACTTTTATGCTAGTGCAACAAATTTCTGTTTTGTGAACTGAAATAAATGAATCAGAAATACTGTACAATCTTTTATGAACAAGTTTAAACTCTGTTTATAAGAGACTAAAAGTCGTACCGTTACAGGAAGTATTAAATGCTTCCTTTGTTTTGTTTAGCAATTTGGGGGAGTGTTTTTGAGGGACTTTATCCATAGAAATAGCTTATGATTTTAGAATGAGCACAAACCATTTGTTATTCTGATTCAAAATTTAATACAGTATATTAAAGTACTACAGTACTACAGGTTTGTACAATTTCTAGTCTAAGCACACAGTAAAGAATCAAATCCATATGCTTATGAGCTGGCATATATAGGATTTCACAGTACAGTATAGTACAGTGGTGCCTCGGTTAACGAATGGTTCGATTAACGAATTAGCTCCCATAAGGATCTTCAATTCGGTTAACGAACAATACTTCGATTAACGAAATTCTTACGACAAACACGTTTTGTTGTGAGCATCAGCTGATTGGCTAGTCTGCCAATACAGTAATCGGTTCTGTTTACATTCGTTTCCAGCCGCTTGACTCACCCACCAAAGTGTCAGTTTAACTTTGTTTACAGTGGAGGAAATATCATATTTGTTGCTCTCTTGAATACAGAGTATTTTACGTTTTTACATTAAAATTATTGGTCATTCTGAAATTTAGTTAGCATATTGATAATATATAGCACAGTGCAGTGTTGATTTAAATAAAATAATCTGTAATTACAGCTAGTGAACTTAAAATTTTATTGGTGAAATTACTGCATCAAGCATGGGTTCAAAGAGAGGCGATTTCTCCTCCAACCCCATTTCCTTCTCTTCTCCTCCACCACCCCCCCACTTCTAATTCCCATCATCATCATCCAGCAACATTCTATATACACACCTCAAAGTAAGTGTACTTTACTGCATTTTCTTTATACTTTGTATGTACTTTTCTGTGAGCTGGAACCAATTACCCAATATCCCATTGAAATAATGGATTCAGTTTACAAAATTTTCGGTTAACAAATGACTCTGTGGAACGAATTGTGTTCGTTAACCGAGGGACCACTGTACAGTACAATATTGTAAAGCACTTTTAATTTCATTTGCTCTGGCTGTAATTTGTATACTTTATCTGTAAAATACAATCTTATGAGTGTGGGCACTGAGTAGAATTTGACTGAAAGTATTATTCTCTTTCACAGGTGGAAGTCATCAATGGATGTCTTGAATGTCCAGAAACCCAGAGAAAGTTTCCAATTAGTAATGGAATACCAAATATGCTATTGAATGAAGATGAAGTATAATGCATGTTAAGATAAATGTTACTTGAAGCGTTAAAGCAGAAAATGGCATTAGATTAGGTTAGTTTTAAAATTGCATGCATCTCCTTTGTCAATTGATACCATGTAAAGATACTGTATAACATAAGTAAGCTTATTTGAGAGATATGGTCAGTGTTGAGGTGCAGCTAACTCACACTAGGGTGGAAAATGGCTGTAAAATGATGATTATGATGTCTGAATATTTTTCTAAGTACTGTAGATATCTTTGAGCATAGGATGGGTCATTGAGACAATTGTGGATTTTTTTTTTATGCTACTGCACTACTAAATGATTAGTTTATCATATTTGGCATTTATCTTTACCTGATATTTGTAACAATTTTGTAAGACCATGAACATTCTGGACATCTTCAAAATGCTGTACAAATATCCCATCATAAGCTTCAATTCCCGCCAGAAGCTAATGAAAACCATTACATCATTAGGCTTATACTGTATACATTAATCCATATTCACTGTACTGTACTTAAAGACATTCTCCTGTAAACCATTTAATGATAAATTTACATCCATAAAGTTAGACAATAGGTGTTTAAGAATATGAATACTGTATAGGATTTTTCATTATTTAAGTTACAGAAATAAAAAGATTGCATATAATTGAAAAAATATATTTAAGACTTGCAAAAAAGTTTATTTTTTTAGTTATTTTAGTCTCAAGCTTAATGAGGTGTTCATCAATGACTGTGGTATTTCATATGTCTTACCCATTCATATTATACAGTACGGTACTGTATAATGAAATTTAGTATGTTTTGCAAGTAGAGGTACAGTACAGTATTTTATTTTTATTTTTTAATGAATTGTCGATAGATTTTGAATTAGTTTATAAATTATCACTGTCTTTGTTATGTTTTCTAAACGTTTTTATAACAGAAATTAATAAATTTTATCGAGGCTAATTGAGTACTGTATTTTGAAATTAACATAAAAATCAGATTTGATCATATTTGCAAATTCATTTCTGTTATGATGGGCTGTGGCTGGTATTGAGAATAGAAATTCTTTCACTGCTATTTATTCATAACTATACTTTTGTTCTTTCTCTTTTTACTTGACACAACCCATATCATCACACATCAGGAGAATATCTAGCTATGCATGGAAAACTATTTGACACAGGACTTTCTTGAACATTCACATATATCACTGCTTTCTGGACATTTATTTACCCTACTCCCATATAGTGTCTTAATCACTCAATCTTTCCATCTCCTCATCTACCCCTTTTTCTCCTACCACTAACTTCTGAAATATTGTCTGCATCACCTGAGCAAACCCCAGTCAGCTCTCTACCTGACACTTGTCATTTCCACAGTTTCTCACTTTCTTAATATTGACTGCATCCTATTCATCCCACATATTAATGTCAAGCATACCATTTCCGTATTTTCTAATCTGCTTGTTTCTGTCATTTCTATTCTGTTTCTTCCTCTTGTATCCAGAATTCATGTGTTTCTTTAAAAATAAATAATGTTAACTTTCAGAAATATTTCCCATAAATTCCCATCTTAGCCTCCTTTGATAACAGTCCTCTCTCTCCTTTTGTGTATTTTTCAGTGCATCTATTTTTTTTTACTTTGATTACCCTGTATTAGTTCTTTACTCCTACTTTTGTTTGTTGCTGCAACCACTATCAAATACCTGGAACACCACTATCCCCATTTGAATTAACATAAATTTTTTTCTTTTCCACTTTCTAGCTGCATCACTACACTTTTGTTCACAATCACTATTGACCTCCTCTTACAACACACACTTTCAAACATATTCACTAACTTATTTTCTGTATTACCCAACATTTAATCAATATCATCTGCAAATAGAAGCTGACTCACCTTACATTTGCATTCCTTATTCCTGGCAAATAAACTTGCATCCCTCTCCATCACTTTATTTTTAACATACTTTACATCTCTTGATGTTCCATCCGTGAAAATATTAAATAGCCAGTGAGGTGACTTTACACACCTTTAATGTAGTCGTACTTCCATTAGGAACCGGTTTATGTCTTTCTGATGCATTTTAGCACATGATTCACCTTCTCTAGAAAGACAGCATTGAACAGTTTCATATTTACACTTTACATATTCAGTACTAAGTAATGGCCAGTACTGTTACTGTCAATACATTAACATAACTCAACTTAAATTTCATTCTTTTCTCCATTATTAGTTTAAAATCTACCTATAAAACATAGTAATAAATAGCTACAGCTCATTGATACATATATTATTCTGGAACAGTATTTAGATTTTAATTCAGTAGCACCTTATACTGTATAAAGAAGAAAAGAGGAGCTACAGTCAGCAGTACAGGGTATATGCAGTATATAACAAAATTAACAGGAGAAAGAAACATTGTGAATGAACATAATACAAAACTTACATACCAATAATTGGGACCTATCTATTCATTTCATAGAAAATATTGACTACAAAACAACTTTGATATGAAAAGATGGACTGCATCACTGCCTACATTCCCCTTAACTTTCAATTGAGGGATAATGAATGCTCACCTCTAATGTAGAAAACTTTGAAGGTATGCACAACACCAGTTCATTTTAGAAATGTGGAAGAACACACACCCAGATCAGAAAGATGAGACAAACAATGACCATCATGTTCATAAACTGACAGTAAATCTTAGGGGGGAAATTTATGAATTGCCTTGCACAAACTTAAAAGAATGTACACGTACTGTAGTTCAGTAACACTACATATTTTCACAAAATATGGGAGGGGAGAAAAAATTTGATACAAGGTGGTGGAGGAAACAGAAACCCACCTATGCTTAGATGAATTGACTATTTATGTATGTGCTGAACCAATGTGAACTTGTATGATGACATTACAGAATATTTTTATGTAGCCTTCGATATTAAAAAGATTGTGTACTATTTACTAACAATATCAGGCAGTGCAGGAAAGCAGATTGCCTTATGAGATGTTGATTAATTACCCTCATGAAACAAACTATTCTTTGCATGACTTAAATCACCAAATTCTACAATAAAAGATTTTTGTTTACAATGTTCATAGATTATGTAAGGTCAATTATACTGCTCATTATTTCCAAGTACTGTACCCATATTCCTACAATGAAAATCCAGATGCAACTAACATGATTACAGTATACAGTACAGTAGACCCTTGCCATTCACGAGGGATAGGTTTCAAGAAATGGCGTGAATTGGCAAAACCGCGAATAGCAACTTATACTACCTTAGTGCACTACTGTATACCTATACCAAACAACTGACCAACAACAGCAGCACTCATCCCCTCTTTTAACTTGTCTAATAATAAAACTTTGTTTGTCAGGGTCATCATTGACTTCTGCCTTTTACATTTCACTCCACTAGCACTGACACTAGGCAGTCTTTCAGGGGCCATTTCGGACAGAAACACTAAAGTTTTGAGAGTATAACACGAGATTCTGTGTGGGGAGACTCGTTGTGCTGCGGGAAAAGGCTTGCAAGCTAGCCACTATAGCCACCTTCTGCTACTGCGAATCATCAAAATCGCTAATGACAAGGGTTTACTGTATATTGAGGTGAGTACAGTACTGTAACACCAATAGACCAAATGGACCCATGTGAGCAACAACATAATTTATTTCACTGTCAACTTTTGCTAGTTTAATTCTACTTCATCAATTAGTTTGTTACTAGGCATTCTGTATTTGGGAGTGACCTTCAGCTTGACATTGACCCACACCAGTTCAGAGAAGAGAGAGAAGGTACGTCCTGCCAACGTGGCCAGCTCGGGCTTGATGAAGTTTGGCTCGTAGTGCGCCAACCTCATTCCACGTTCCTCCAACCCTCGAAATACCCTACCAATACATTAGAAGCTGCTGATATATACAGCATCTTGATAATTATCAAAATATAAATATTGTGTAAATGCAGAAAGACTTACTGTAGGTATGGATATCTTCAGAGGGAAAAAAGTAATGTTCATAAAATTTGAACTCAGTCTGCAATTGGAATATATATGAATGTAAATAATATTTTATGAGTTAAATTATTATTAAAAATTAGATGACTTGTTAGTGTCCCGACCTGGTATAGTTGGTTAGGGCGTGGTGAAGGTGGTGAATGGGTTGATTTTGGTCGAGGAAAGCTGAAAGATGCACCTCGAGAGCCACTTGCCTAGTTCTCTCTAGCACGTCCGTCTGTGCAGACATAAAATGTTTGGTTTGAACTGAATACAGATGTAATGAGCAAATTAATCGGCAAAGAAACTTAAAATTAATTTTTACGGAAATTAATTTTTCATCCTTTTATCTACTGACTTATTACAAAAAAAACTTTGTTAAAATTTTCTTAATTATGTATAATATATTGTAGTGCAGTGGACACGAGAGTAAAATACAGTAATCAGTCAATCTAAGGGGGTGGAACAATAAACAATCTCCTGGTCTACCATGAGGGGAGGGTTGGCCCTGTATTTCCAATTTTGGGTCATTTTTGTTATAATGTTAAAACCATACTATACTTCAACAATGTCGGTCTTCAAGTGCGTAACAAGGTTAGCCATTACACTATTCTAACAGTATAAAAAAAATATGAGGTAAAACTCTTTGGTAGTTTTTGTCTTGTGGGTCAGATGCATTTCCACAGTTTTGAAGGTTAGAGCTGAAATTTGTTTAGGAGGTGCGGATAGCCTAGGGAATGGGTGTGTAATATTTCCTGTCCCTCCATGAGAGGCAGGATGGACCCCATAGGAGCTGACCAATACTCCACACCCTGGGTTGGTCAACAAATTTGAAGATGGTAGGGGATGATCATGCACTATCTCCGGTTAACATTACGTACTTTAGCTCGTCCATGATTTCAGTAACAACACAACACATCACTATTCAGCCATGATTTTTGCTTCTATTGTCCTTAGATATTGTCTTCTATTGGGGAAATATTTTTTTTTCAGAATTAGGATAGGTATCATATAGCATGGTAATGTGATAAAAGACCACAGATTGTTTAAATTCACCCCCGTAAAATTGAGGACAACGTGCTTCAAAGATTTATTTCTAGACAGACAGACAGACAACTGGACGACATTGGATGCATTCTCATCACTGTGTTATTATGATAGGAGTAATATCCTATTTGTCTTCTGGAGAATCTGTAGGAACTTTTGTTCTCAAAGATGATTATAAATATTTTAATATTCTTGGATATGGAGATTTAACTTAGTTTAATAATGTGAACACCAACCAGAAAACATACTCAATCTTATCTGTATTAAAACAGTCTTTTCAGTAATGTGAAAAAAAAAAACAACAAAAACAGTAACAGAAATAAAATTTAAAGAAAATGTCCTACCTTAAACAGTGACTCTTCTAGTACATCAAACTCCGTGCCCTCAATGTCGATTTTAAGAAAGTCTATGTTAGCACGGAATTGGTCAAGAAGGTACATGATGTTATCCAAGGGCCTGTACAGGTACATGTGAGGTAAGTTGAATTTATCATGGCTATTCAACAGCTGAACATCTCTGCTTGCTCCTATGCGAACATGGATGAAATGTACCCTGAAAGACAGTGTAGAAGTGACTTGTACTGCATCCTCAAAATGATTATGAAAAATAAAGTCATCTAGACAACCCGTAAAATTCAAGCTATATTTTTTGAAAACTGACATATGCAGCCTTGTCAACTCTGAAATGCTGATTCAGCAGAATTGCCAAAATGTTGGCTCCTGGTAGTGATGTGATAAGTGAAGTTGCTAAACACCAAGAATAAGTGAAATGGAGTATGAGTAGCATACACAGTTTTTACCAATTTCTGGCCAAATGCTCCTTATTCTTTGAACTGCATTCTTAGCTGATCTAGATTGTCATACTGTAGTCAAAACCATTTTTTAACCATTATCAGTTGAAGCAACATTACACATTTTGAGTTGACATTACCTGGGAAAAGGTTCCCTCTTATAGATGTCATGGGAGGCATCATCATCGAATGAAAACACCTGACAACCTAATTTGCCCATGTCTGCGTCGAAGCTCAAGTCATGGCCAACACCGAATGAATACACCATGCAGAAGTTGCTGGGCCTACTTTCGAACATGTCCAAACACACCATCCTGGATTAAGGTGATGTGTTATTGCTTATCTGAAATAAATCTGGTTACTTCTAAATAGATTATGTCAACAGGTGCAGTATTGTAGTTATCTCGGTAGGCACACAGGAATACAAGTACGTACCCTGAACAACCTCAATACAGTACTAGTACTGTACATACACATGCATAATCGCTTGATATAAAAAAAATAGATAAATTCACATACATGTTCAATATTATTATGCCTAATTATTGTAAACAAAACTCATAAATAACATTGTTCAGAATTATACACATTACCCAACAGTGTATGTTGATGCATTCTCACTTCACAACAGAATGAGCCAGACAGCTTTTGTAATATTACATCAGTTAAATTTGGAATAAATTTAATTTGACAAATATGGCAAATCATGGGATATCCCAGGTACTGTTTATTGATTTACATTAACGAATAGGAGTGAAATGTTCGATTTTGACAAAATCTGTACATTCTATGTTTGGGTGTTGACGCTGATAAAGTAATTCACATCAGTAAATTTAAGGAACTTCCTTTTATTTTCCTACAAATTACAATATTCAAGGAGAAATAATCTATAAAATAAACTTTCATTCACACCACCCATTCCACAACTGCAATTAGTCACGCCCATACCAACCAACTTACTTTTGTCCATCAAAGATCTTCTGGCAGGAGGTTCCTCCTTGGCTAACGAATTTTCTGCAAGAGTAGGTTGGCTGCGTCATGACATCGATCAGGTCACTCACTAGACTCTGCAACTCTTCCAGGGACTCACCAGAAAAAGATATATTGTATTTTAACGGCTCTTGAGAGATGACTCTCAATTCCCCAGGTGTGGGGGGCACTGTTCCTCTCATGTAAGATATTGGAGACATATCAGCTACTGGGGAGGATTCTGCGGGAGTTCAAAGAGCAAATATATGTTTATATATATACACCCACGAGACAGAAATGTCATTTGGCATTATCATAAAACTAATTATCTTTTTAGTACACGTTTACACACACACACACACACACACACACACACACATATATATATATATATATATATATATATATATATATATATATATATATATATATATATATATATATATATATATATATATATATATATCTCAGGACTCAACTTCTCAGGGCATTGTGAACTGTCCTCTTTCTTTTTACTGTCCTGTATATTTAGTTAATTAGTAAAGCGGTTGAGTACCTTGATCTCTGACCTTATAGATCCCTATAATATAGATTATCCTGAGAAAACAAACTAGCGATTTCTGTATATGGCGACATATACAGTAGTCACAGTCACATGACTAACGACGGATTTTTATTCACACATCCTCTCCGGCGTGAGTAAAATACAATATGTAGACAACACTCACATGGTTAGACAGTGAACCTTCTAAGGCCTGGAAATGGTTGACAATTTGTGCAATCTTCATATCTGTACCCATACTGCTGGCCCGCATAATTTTTTTTTTACACAATTAGGAACTTACTATATGGTTCCATTGGAGCATAGAGTTGGCGTACTGGTGCCCACAGTACCAGAAGGGCCAGGGAGACAAACATTAACACACGTCGTATCCGACGAGGCATTTGCAATAAACTCATCACACGCAGAGTCGTTGGCACTCGAATTCGTTCAGGATCGCGAGCACGGAGTAAACTACAAACACAATATACGTACTGTTGTAAAGACTCAAAACTACACGTCATCAAATTAAGGTCTGACTTCCTGGAGAGATATCGAGTACATTTTCCTGGATCGCTGGGTAGCAGTGGCTCTAAACTCGGACATGTAGGGGAGCTATTGTAGTGGATTTCTCCCCTACAAACGCTATTTGTCGCCGAGTAGCCGACTCCGCGAATTCCCCAGTGTATGCCTCGTGGTCTGGTCAACCAACGCCGCCATACACCACGGAGGTCAACTACTAAGCCACGCCTACCCCCGCCATTTAAGACCTAACCTCGTGGTGCCCTCCCTCTTCTAGCTACAGCCGCAGCAAGCAACACCACCTCCTCCGCCGCTGCCTGGCGGCCCTCGCTCCCGCCGGCGAGCATGGCGACCCACAAGCTGTCCTCCTCTGAGCATCCTCCCCAACCAGCTCTCTCTACATCACACTTGTAACTACGCTGCCACTTCCCAGCACCAAGCTGCATTGTACATCCAATACAACATGTATACAGAGAGCACATTGTGAGTTTCCTTTCTCCATCCCATCCTGAGTGTGAACCCAAACATCCCATACCCCACACTATCCTAAGGCATGATGACCTACTGGGGATAGCGTTTCATTCATATTGCTTAAAAAATGTCGAATTCATCTGGATAATTTTCTTTCGCCATTTCTGTTTTCAACTGCAAACTTTTAATAAAAAAGGTCCCCGGACAGCTAATTTCCTTCTCCAGTAACTTGTCGCTAAAACACTTCCAAGTTAGATTTGAGATATCATACTCAACGCTACTCCACATTTTTTTAACGAATAAATAACAAATAATTATCACTTAATTCATTTAGCGCTGCGACCCCATGATAAACACAAGCTACAGTAGACTATTTGAAGATATTTCAAACTGGGCGATATGACGGGAAAATATTACAGGTATATTATATACCTGTAATATATGTTAAGGATTTCGTTACCGAATACTTTGGATAAACAAATTAGATATATATTTGGTTTCACGATAAAAACGGATTTTTTGGTGGCTCGTTATTTCCGTATTAGTATACAGTATGAACAATACAGTATATTCAGTTCATGTTAACGTGGGCATTTCACATAACCACATCACAGAAAGGATATAATGTAACTTATGTCATTATGAAATATTGATGTTTCACCGTCTTTCCACTTTTCGTATACCTGTACTGAGTTATTGTAACTTGACTTCACCAGGTTTTCTCATCACTGAAGAAAATGATAATAGAATGCATATGTTCAAATTGTATTCAATTAATGTAGTTATTATTCCAAATAATAAATCATAAATATTTTCATTAGCACAGGCTAATTACATCAACCATAATATAAATATTACACATACCCTGTAGTAATAAGTAAACTAATCAAAGCATCTAGTCTAGATTATCAATAGCAACATTACAATAAAATTCTGACAGAAATTTATCTCACAATTTCTAATTGTTGATGTAATAGTGTACAGTTTTACTTGTTACGCGCTCAAGACCTTCGTTGTTGAAGCACAGTAATAAAATTTTAACATTATGACAACAGCAATACTGACAACAATAATAAAATGCAATATTTGTATCTATTTTCAAATTTGTACGTCGATTTTGATCTTGGGCCATAAAAGTCGTTATAATTAGGTATTACAAGTAGTTTAGTAGTAGGCAGCTATCAAAAAGGGAGGTACTACCGCCTGGGAAGATATTGGAAGCAATATGTATTATCTAATGGTAGACCCTGCTGCCATATGGCATCACAAATTTTGTGACCAAGTTCCAGGTTGCTGATCAGACTTTCTGCCTCATTTACACACAATTGCAGGGTTTCAATTGTTTCTCTAACTTTGATAACACAAGTAGTGTTACACAACATATGTCATGGTTTTGGTGGTGCATCGGTCCACCAAGAAGAATCGGTGGTAGTAGGAGTGGATTATATTATATAAAGATAATAATATGTCGTATTTCTTATTTCTTACCGTAGAGTCCGATACCTTCACACTGATTACTTACAGGAGATTATGGCATATCTACGTAGAAGTTCACTCCACCCACTAGCGTAGCTAGGGGGGGGCGGCACTTTTGGGTCTGCTCATCACCCATATCTGCAGCTACTGGAGACGTTAATCCATCCCTTTGTATCGGCGGCAAGTTAATCCTTGTCGTGTCTGACCTAACACCAGACCCACATCATCACGGCCACGTCATGAGCTACACCCTTGCTATGCGCCCCCCCCCCCGCCACACACACAACCTGTAACCTGTTGAGGATTAAGGAAACAACTTCAAACAAGTACGCCAGTGAGCTCATGTGGTGTGGGTCAGGTGTTAGGTCAGACACGACGAGGATTAATTTGCCGCCGATACAAAGGGAAGAATTAACGTCTCCAGTAGCTGCAAAACCATGCAGTCTCGGGTCATATCAGTTCATGTACAGCCGACCGATCCACCAGTTACAAGCAATTCACTTCAGTTCTGCATAAGTCTCCATCGTGACAAGACGAGGGGAGGCTAGACGACTTTTAAGTTCTCTTGTGTTTTCGATCCAGTTATTTACTTCGTTGGAAGACATAATACTATAAGGTAAGAAATATCAAAGTATTGGTTAAAAAATATTGATGTGACTTTTGCTGCGGTACTGAGATTAAATATTAAGATTTTGTTTCACAGCATTGCGATTTTATACTAAGACACTATCCTCACTGGGGTACAGACAAAAGCCCCCCCGACAAAAGCCACCCAGACAAAAGCCCCCTAGACGAAAGCCACCCAGACAAAAGCCCCCTACTTTGATCGGGGTGGCTTTTGTCTGACAACAGTAAGGCAAACTATTTAATATATATATATATATATATATTTATATATATACATATATATATATATATATATATATATATATATATATATATATATATATATATATATATATATATATATATATATATATATATATATATATATATATATATATATATATATATATATATATAAAAGAGAGTAGCTGTATGCAATATGTATTTTTAGGTCACCGCAATCAGGGCGCCTGGCGGCATACACTTAGCTACGCCACTGACTCACCACTCGACATTCCATGATTTATACTTGATAAATGATGATTTAATGAATTCATTTAATTTTCAACATCCATCTAAGTTATTGGTTATACTATGTCATAACCAATCAGTCATTACCTTTAGTAATAATAAGATAGGATCACAGATACGGGCAGATAATTGCACTTACATTTATTTGTCAAGCTTCCATACAATGATTTACAATTTGCATGGATATATGATTTACTCACGTTCACGCTGTAATAAAATTAATCTTCTAAAACAGGGAATTTTCAACTTGGGGACACATGTGGTTACTCTACAATGGGTGTGACTTAACAGAACCTTAATTCTTCAAGTGATACATTTACTGCCAGCCTGGATTGCCTTTGTTGCAACCAGGCTTCATCACAATAACTTCTTCCCACGGCCATAACAACAAAAAGGTACTCTTGGGTTACCACACATAGTCTCGCGTCACTGACAGTCACTGTGGACGGTTGTCGCGGCAAGTAGAACTGGTAAGCGTGACTTGAATTAACCATTAGGTGCAATAGACCAGCCTGGATTGCTCTTGTCGCAACCAGGCATCCACAGGTGATATTTCCACGGGGATAACAAACTAGGTTAACACGCTTAGTCTCGTGTCGACGACGGTTCACAGGACGGAGTGGCGGTGGAGTACTCTGTGTGGTGTGGTGTCCCGCCCCCCTTCAGGAGGGAGAGGATGGAGACGACGTCTTAACTAACCCATGGCTCAGGGGATACTACTTAAAATGAGGTTTTTGGGTGTGAAGCAATGAACAGTACAACACTGTTTCACTGCCCACCCCCCTAAAGGCTGGCTGACATACACTAATTGAAAAATACATGTCCCAGTTATGCCTCGCCGGGCGTCTTATCTCTGGTAAAACAAACTTTGGAGTTGGTTGCGTGGGTAAGCCTAACGCAACCCATGACAACATACATACAGTATATCGTTTCTCATTATTGATCTTTTTTATTATTATTATTATTATTATTATTATTATTATATTGCATCTTTATTTAATATTTATTTTAATTTTTATTAATTATTATTATACTTATAATATTTTCGCCCCCAGGCCCTGATGTGGGTCATTGACCTGTGCCCTGGTGGGGTAATCCCGTAAAAAAAAAGTTACTGAGCATTAGGCATATCGTTTGGCCTTCAGACGTCGTTGCTTTGACCCTGTACGCTGTTCCCGAACACTGTATCACTTTACTGCATCAACAGTCTCAATGATTTGTTTGTTTCATTGCACTTGGTCTTGTTTCAGCTAATCCAGTTACCGATCTGAACAAAAATCACATTACTTCACACATTTCATTGCACCTAAACTCATCACACAAGGAGCCAGCAGCCGAGTTTTAGTCCATACATTACAAGAATATTGCAATGGTCGAAGATATCCCGGTAATTCACCATTCATATCACTACAGCTTCAAAAATACTGTAGACGCGTCGCTGAGCATTGCATCAACGTGCTACAAGGCTGACGTGTGTATTCGTTATTCCTCTCTCGTGTGCTTGAGCTTTCTGTACCCTGCATGAAACACATTGCTCCTAAAGGAAAGTTTTCTCCTGTATACGTAACAAGAAAACGTTCTCAAAATATCCTGTTTACCTTTTGTCAATCTACAGTTATTCTCATAAGTGATGCATTGTAAGATATTCAAGGATTGCAAGGTGCAAATTTAGCTTGAACTTTAAATTACAACTTGCTACTACATAACTCAGACAAGGACGTTATTTCAGAATATTAACGGGAAAATACATTTAAATTATTTTTCACGTTCTGCCTACGAAATTATTGCATAGCCTCGCTGACAATTAATGTGTGTAAATGTAATAATATTCCAAAGTTTGTCTCGCTTTCATACAAATCTTACCATAAGTTTTAAGTTATACTAGAAATTTATTTCCTCAATGATAAACATCGTATATTATTAATTTAAATATATTAATAAACCGGTTAAACGATTTGTCATTAAACTAAGAGAATTTAGTATCACGTGACAAAATTTTCAAAAAGATATCATCAGTGTATCTATCTCCGTGTTATTTGCAATTCATTTCACTATTACTTTCCTTCCCAGCGCAAGCAAGCAACACGTGGCGTGTTGTCATGGTAACCATCACAACAAGCTCACGTGTCTTGCTGCATCTCGGCTGACTACATGATCGATAATGGACATTTATTTGCATTTCTTCCACTTACGGGTATGAAAATTATTCCACTCTTTATCAGTTGTACAGGTAAATCTGATTTGTTCATTGTGATCACGTGCAGGCCAACTAATAAACTCACTATCATCAAAGATCTTGGAAAATAATAAACGTCGTGACATAACAGCCGCCAAAATGTGAGTTCTCTCAAAATATTTGATTTAATATGAATAGAATAATATTTTTAACGAGACCGTGATGAATCCTGTGATATAAAGGAAACCAAATGGAATCCTAATCACCAGTTCGCGAAATTAAAAACCACCCAATACGCCAAGCTAGAAAGAAGCCGCTCTGACCCTCGCCACCTCACACTCACAGTTAACGAACCTACAAGGAGTGTGGAGGTATGGGTGAGGTGGTGGAAGTAGTGGGCGTGGGGGAGGTGGAGGTCCGCCCACAGTTAGCTTCCTTAACCCTCATCATCTCCGCCCACAAAAACACGATCGAGGAGTGTCGAGCGTCAGTGGAGAAGCGGCGGCCCTACGTCATCCAAACGGTCAGTGACGTCACAATGCTATTAATTGAGCGTGATGAATGTGTGGCAGCATTTTTTGTTTGTAAAAGTTTTCGGATTAACCGAAGAATTTCCACCCAGTTTATTTTGACTAATGGTTAACCACCTTAACACTATTTGGGGGGATGAGGTTAGGTTAGGTTGGCTGTAAGAAAAACCAAGATAGGATTTTAGGATCATATAACTAGAGTGTAACAAAATAGTTCAATATATTTCCAGTTTTTCTTGTTGATGGACTAGTGTAATAATTACTAACCTTGTTACACGCTGCAAGACAAGGATAAAATATATAGTCCTTGCTGCAAGAGACCTTAGTTGTTGAGGCGCAGTAATGACATTATAAGATCAAAAGTCAATGAATAGCAGCAACATAAGGATGATGTACAATACTTATGCAATTCGAAAATCTTTGAAGTGGGGAAAATAAATGTCTACAAAGTTGCATTCCAATCTATTACTTTTTGTTTGACATTATGCATGCCTTATTAAAGTATCTAATAGGACCAATCAAAAATTTTATGAAGAACGGAATTCTCGGTAATAACATTAATTTTGTTGTACAGTGAAGAACTGGGGGCAATGCCCTTTTATTTATACCTAGATAGCAGGTATCAGTGGTGAAAGGCGTTAATTCGTTGTGTTGGTCTACAATGACACGTGATCGTTGCAAACTCAGGCAAGGGCGTGCGAGAAATTATTAGTAATGGAAACAAAAAAGTCGGTACAGCATATTATGAAGAGTACAATTCCACACACACACTGTATATCCTATTGATACGGAC